ATGTCCAGTTCTCTCCTGAGAAGGTCCTATAAAACCAAGAATATAAATGATATTCTGTGAAACAGATGTTCCAACTGTTAGGGCTACAATTCTGTAGGGGAGGGAAGGGAGGAAGGAAGGAAGAAAGGAAGAGAGGCAGGGAGGAGGAAAAAAACCAAGTTTCCAGTAGGTCAGCAGTTCTCAACTATGGCTGTATGTTGAAATACCCTGGGTGAAAAATGTCAATGCTGAATCCTACCCTCTGAGATGTTTAAAGTCCCCACAGAACTGAGGTTACCAGAGGTGGGAAAGGGGGAGGGAGAGTGAGGTTAGGGAGAAATTGGTAAAGGGCCACAAAAAATGATTACACTGTGTAATGCTGAATATGCTAATTGTCCTGATTTGAGCATCACACACTGCACCCAGGTATTGATATTCAACTCAGTACCCAACAGGTATGTTCCTTCGATTATATTTCAATTAAAAAAGAAAGAAAGAAATGGAAGCAGAACAACAAAAAGAGAGAGATGTTTAAAGTCTCCAGTGATTCTGTTGTGCACTCAGGGTTGAGATTCAATGCAACACAGCATCATAGTCTATTAAGTAGTGACTGAAGAATATTCAATTACTTGAGAAGAATGAACACTCAAAAGGGTTCTAGTTGTGAAGAATTGCTACCAGCCCACCAGAAAGCCCACACAGCTTCTTATTGCAGAGGTCTAAGAGGGCCAGAAGTCTTCCAAGAATTCTCTCTGTTGGTGGGATAAGTGCTGCCATTTTCTCAAATCCTGAATCCCACTTCTCTGAGGGCTGCAGAGTAGCCCAAGGCCATGTTTCTACTTCCCTCTCACCCTTCTAAAATTATTGCCAAATCAATGCTTTGGGCTTAATATAGTCAAATCTCTCTTCCTGATAATAAGATAGAATCTGTGGCTTTTAGCATCCATAGATCATTCCCACATCTCTGATTAGCTAGAGGTTCTTTTGTTCATTGCATCGATACTCTCATAACTGCTGGGGCCAGTTGAAAAATGCCAGAGGCAGAGTGATGAATTGGAAAGAGCAATGCACTGAGAATCAGGGTCTTGAATTAAGTTACAGATTTGTCCATGCCTTTATACGTGACCTGAAGCAAGTCACATAACCTTTCGAACCTCTGTTTCCTTAAATGTAAAGTGAGAAAGTTGGATAATAGGTAATATCCACTGCAACTCTGAAATGCCACCCTCATAGCATTTTCTTATCCACTTCCATGTGATGATGCTGATGAAGAGGAAAGGGTGAGAAAATGAGGACAGTGAAGAAGCTCAAGGAAAAACTAATAGTCTGAATGAGCCACAAGTTGACAAATTTGCTCTCAGAGCATTGAGTATGTCCCTACAAGCTGCTTTCTTAAAAGACTGCAGTGGAATCATATGCCAGTAAAATTTGGTAGGTTTCACTTTATGCTGCTGGTCTATTTGATAAGACCATTCTCACTCCCCTTGCACTGTGAAAATCAGCCATGCAAAAGGAGAAAGCAATAATCTGAGTATCTAGTTATTAAATTGACTCTAAGTGAGAAAGTGTTAATATTTTTAAAAAGACTCATCTAATGTGCCAGGAAGAAAGTTTTAAAATATTCAAACCTCAAGTTCAGTTCATTGTTCCTTTCAATAGCTCTTGCACCCACGTCTCTCCATCCATTTCTGTCCAAATACCGTGCCATCTTCTTATGCTATCTGCTCCTCAAGACCGTCCTGCATGTCACCGCCGCACATAGCTTTATACCTCTTGGTGTATGACCTGTCTACTCCAAAAGAGTTTTACTCCGTATTTCTGGCAAATTAAGTCTAAACTGTTTGGTTTGGCATTCTCAGATCACTACAGTCTAGCCCATAACCTGCCTTTCCTCTCACTTTTCCTCCAGCCAGTCTGATCTGCTTATTGTCCATTTCCCAGCTATGCCCAATAAAGTCCTCCCACCCTGCCTTTGCCCGTGCTGTGCCTCCCGTATGGAATGGCTTCCCCATTTCCTCCCACATAGACTGATCCTGGCCATTCTTGTGAGCTGAACCAAGTCACATGTCATCTCTTCCAGAAGTACTTATGCTGGCCTACAATGATCTTTTCTTCTTCTAACCGTTTAAGCAGCACTTGAATTTATACTTTCCTGTATTATCTACTGTGGTTTGTTTATTTCATGTTTCCTGGTTAAATGCATGCTTCTGAAGGAGAAAAATCAATGCATTAAATGCTTCTACCTGTCTTTCTGCCTGTCTTCCTTTCTCCCTCCTTCCTTCTTCCCATCCTTCTTTCTTTTTCTTTGTCATAGTTTGTATAGCAAAAGTTGGGGAATATTGTGGAATACAGCAAATGATCAGTAGTCACTTTATAAGTAAACATAGTGAGTTTTATTGCCCTACTCAAATCAATCCTCCTGCCCTTGGGACCTAGGCTTCTCTTTTACTAAGCCTGATCACTGGGAATGCAAGTTCTTTAGTGTCCCTTAAATTTTAGCATGGAATTCAACACCTCACAGCATGTTCTTCGGTAAGAATATTTAGTATCACTAAAGATATATATGCCCAAGTTTGGGTTCCACTTTTAGATTTTATATATGTTTCCCAAAGCACAGAAATAATCTAAGAAATATAAACAAATTGAGAGGAAAGAGTGAAATATTCCAGTAATTAACCACTTATTTATGAAGGGTCTTCAAAAGTTCATGGAACGATTCTTATTATCTTTTAATTCTATTTTTCCATGAACTCTTTGAAGCACGCTTGTATTTATTGCAGTAGTATGTTAAGTCACACACTCCTCATTTAGAGAGTTAGTGATAACAGAATTGCAAACTACTAAATCAAGAAGGGACGTCATCTTCTGGTTTTATAGCTGAGTCAGCTGAGGCTCAGGCAGGGACAGAGTCTAAATGATGTGGTGCACACTGCAAAACTATTTGCCTTCCTTCTTCTAGTGGTATCTCTTCAAAAAGAAGTTCCTCTATTTCCGTCAAACTGTTCCCTTTAACTCCTTTTTGTTTCCAAAAGGCTGTCTATAAATAAAATGCAGCCCTATCAAGGGACCCAAAGTTGAGTAAGAAGATTAACCACTTCCAAGTTTTGAAATTATCTTGTTTATGCTTCTAGGAAAGGATAGTTATCTAGAAGTGGTAGAACTGGACTCTAAGCTTTGGTAAAGAGAGAATTCGTGTGGGGTAAGGGGCAGAGTGGGTGAACTATAGATTCAGATATGCAAATAGTGATTCTGTTTGTTTTTGAGTCTGTTGCAAGGAGGAGTCTGAGGACAAGCAGAAGGGGATAGAGCTAGTGCATCCTTTGCCCTCGGACCCTAGAACACCCCTTGTCAAGTCTGGCAAGGGGTTAGGAAGGATAGATCCATGACCCTTGCTTGCCTATCTCCCTCTATACAGGGAATGCAATTGTATTGGAGAGATAACCCACCCGCAGCCTCAAGGACAACAAGCTCTCGAAGTCACACTGAGATCCCAGAACACTCTAGAATAACCTCCCTCCCCAACTGCACATATTTGGCACACCCAGTGAAAGCAAGACTAGACTAGGACTTTGCCCTACTCAAATCAGTCCTCCTGCCTTTGAGATCTAGGACAAAGGCTGCTCTGCTTCAAAGGTGGTCTTGGACCACTAAAAGACATAACCAACCCCCTCCATTTCCATTTTGGAGTGGGGGATGGTAAGAGGAGGAGAAAAAAACTCTTTTGATTTTAGAATTGCAAACAAAAACTGCGCTTTTTGTTGTGTTTTATTTATCTTTTTTTAAACCAGGAAATCAATTAAAATTCTACTCTTTTGCCTCAACATGTTTTTCTTCTGTAAGAGTTTAGCGTTTCTAGATGTAAGAACTAGCCTTGCCTCTCGTATTCTGTTGAAGCGAATTCATTTGATCAATAACGGGGTTGATGGATGATGCCTAAATTCTCGTCCACCGTGAACGGTGTGGGAGTCTGCGAGCCCCATTGCCTTTGACTTTTCCACTCGAGCGTCCAACACAAAGATACTTAAAGGTTAAGGATCTCTCCGATGAAGAGTTGTTAACACGGATGCCGAGGCTCACGGGCATCAGGTTTGCAGGCTCGCCTGGTCTCTCCAACGTTTCCTGAGTAGGAGGCTGCGGCGGAGCCTCCTGGCCTTATTCCGCTTCTCCTGCGCCCGGGCAGCAGGTCCCCGCGGCGCAGCTCCGTCGGTCTCCCGGACACCGAGCTTTCTATGCCATCTCCAAACCGGACTAAGCCGGGACCGCTGCACCTAAGCTGCGTTTCTCACAGTCCTGCCGCCACCTCTCCTCGAGGTCCCTGGAGGTCCCCGGAGGTCCCCCCTACTTCCAACTCTAGAAATCCTTCCGGCCGTGCCACACTTCACACCCCAGCCCGCGGCTCCACGAGCTAGGCTCTGCAGCGGAGTAGGGCGCGCTCCCGGGGCGTCCCGGGCTCCAGCCCACCTCCCCGCCCCAGCCCTTTCTGTTCACAGCCCCAACGCCCCGCCCCAGGACCCTGCCGTCGCCTTCCCCCCACACTCCCAAGGGGCTCTCTCGGCGCACTGCTTCCTGCATCCACCCCCCTCGGACCCCAGCCACCCAGGCAAAGCGAGAGCCAGTCAGTGGGCAGGGCGCCTGGCACCCCCACGCCGCCCGGCCCGGCCCTCTGCTGCGCAGGGGTGGAGCAGGCACCCGGCCTCGCGGGGCTCCGGGGCGCCGGCCGCCCCGGCGCACTCAGCTCTGCAAGGCAGACGAAAACAGCCTCGTAGGGGAACCTCCGGCCGGCAGGCGACCCCGCTCTTGCACCGACCTGGCCACCCCGGAGCCTAGGGCGCGGCTGGAGCCCGGCGCAGCGTGCCCGAGCTCGGGCGGCCCCGCACGCTCCTTTTCGGCCCCCTCCTAGGAGGGGCGCGCGGGGGCCCCGGAGAGGCACCTCCCGTCCACCCGCCCTCCCCAGCGCCGCGCTGTGTCCCTGGCGTCCTCAGTCCTGCCCCCCGAAGTGGAGATGCGCGAGAGGCAGGCGAGGGCGCGCAGCTCGTGAGAAGCCGCTCCAGCCGGCACCATGCGCCTGCGGCCGCTGCCCCTCGTCGTGGTCCCCGGCTTGCTGCAGTTGGTGAGTGCCCGGCCCCCCGCACCGCCCCGCGCGCCGGGGACGCGTTTCGGCGGGAAAACCTCGCCGGTGGCAGCCTCAGAAGCCGAGCCGGGGGCTGCTTAGGAAGCGGGGCTAAGGGCGCGCGGAGTGGAGGGGGTTTTAGGTTTCCTTAGAGATTGAAAGGGAAGAATTAGGGGCTTAGCAGGGGTTGGGACCTGAGGTCTGGGTTCAAGTAGGCGGAAAGTGTCCGGGAAGACGGTGCGAGAGAAGGAAGAGGTTTATTGACAGGCGGTCAGTGAGGGGATGGGAGTAGAGGGGTATGACGGGGAAAGGTTGAAAGACCTTCCTCCAGCTCAGAGTTTGAGAGGCTTGGTGGTTTCAGTTTTTCACGTGGTATTTTGCCCAGATGGCCACGGACACTTGTTCCAAAGAGCCCCCTGCATCCTCGTTCGCAGGGACGGGTAGTGGCGCCTCGCTGGGGGGAAACTTAGGCAAAGAGCGATCTGAGGGGCAGCTTGGATTTCTCTTGGTTTTCCGCCTGGCGCTGGGGACTGGGCTGGGGTTTTGTGCAAGCTGGGAGGCAGGCTGTAACTTTCAGGCCCAGCTCCACGCAGGAGCGCCCTCCGGAGCATCCCTAAGCAGTCTTTCGTGGTAGCCCTCTCCTGCCTGGTCTGGACGGCTCGGGGCCGCTGAGGAATACGAAGGGTATTGAAAGGTGGCTTAGGGTTCGCCAGCGACACTGGGCGACTGTTCGCGTTGTGACTCCCCTTGCTCTCCCTGAGAGGCGCCAAGCTCTGCTTCCGAGGTATACCTATGTGCGCTGTATGTATTGCTAGTTAGTTATACCTAAACGAGATGCAAGGTAAGACCTTCAAGGCGAAACTTTTAAAGTAAAATTATAGAAGGGGACTGCTTTTGCTCAGTCGACCTCTCTGATGGATTTCTCCCGATGTCTTGACATCTGTCTTGACAGGGTGCTATTAAGAGAGCTTTCTCCTGATGCCACGGTTACTTTTGTGCACAAACTTAAGACTTCGCCAAATACTTAGAGGATGACAATCTGTTCTTTCTTTCCCTTCCTTCCTTCCTTCCTTCCTTCTTTCCTTCCTTCCTTCCTTCCCTCCCTCCCTCGCTCCCTCCCTCCTTCCTTTCTTTCTTTTTCTCCTTCTTTCTTTTCCGTTTGGAGGGAAAATCAAGTCACTTATGAAAAGTTTCTTTATGATATGACATTGTAGAGGCAGAGGCATTTTGAAAGTTTTGAAGGTGAGCGGAAGGGACTCCAAAAGGTGAAGGAGAGATACAATGGAAAGGCCCATCATCCATTCTTGTTACAGCAGAGATTAGCTTCACCTGCACAACCTTAACCAAGAAATTCTTCGATGGCATCAAGAAGAAAATGCAGTGATATTCCCAAATGTCCTTGAGTGAGCCACCATTTACTGGCTATGTACAATGCTGCATGTTAAAATAAATTTTACATCTGAGGCATTGTGAATCCAAAACAGGGTATTTCAAAAAGTTCATGGAAAAATAAAATTAAAAGATAATATACGTCTTTTCATGAACTTTTTGAAGTACCTTCGTATGTGCCACATTAATCCTTAGTGTCACTTGCTTTTTAAAAATTTTAGTCTAGATCCCAATACAAAAGTGTTCTAACAAAGCAGCATTTGTATAGTGCGTATAAGGAAAAGCCTGAGGAAATCAGGTGCTTATGTGGGGTCTTTAGAATACATTCATGAATCTTAGTGCATTTATTTTTTATTCAGTGATCATTAATTATGTATCTGCATCATGTGCACTGTATTAGACTCTTAAAGATGAGGAAGTATATTTGGGCATGTGTTCCAGAAAAGTTCTTCTACCAGCTACTACATTGGAAATCCGCCCCCACCCCCAGCCCCATACCACCATAGTTAATAGGAAGGGATTATATTTACTCTCCTTAAGAGCTAGATTCTAATATTACAGCATGAATTGATTGATTAGTTTTTAAGAAAGCTTATGTCAAATTCTAATCCGTTTTTGGATTGTGCTTGGGTTGTAATGTTTTTTCCTGGAGCACTTTATCATGGTAAGAGAGGTGGGGAGCTGCAGCCCTGTGATAAGCACACATTCCTTACACTGCCATCCTTTTGGACAATAAAAGGCTGTTTACATTCTCCACATTCTTAGAGCTGTTGCCAGCCTTATAACACAAGGGGGTTAGGATGTGAAAGGAAAACAGTGTGGCTGAGCAGGGTAGATCTAAATTGAAATAGTCCCCATTCCTACCACATGCCCCAACCGAGAAGGTATCAAAAAGCACAGATCACAATGAACAGATCACAAGCCTCCTTTGGATGGCTCATAGTTTTGTTCTATCTTTTTCAGCCGATAATGAACTTCTTTGTTAAATCCTAACTGCAAGTGGATAAAATGTTTTCCAGATTTGAAGCTAGTCTTTTAATTTCTAGGAACCATATGTACTAAAAAGATTTGCCCTGTGCTGATGTACAGCAAAACAAACAAACAAACAAGCAAACAAAAATCATTTAAAAAAATTTGTTGTGTGGTAGGGGCAAAGTTGCATTATTGTTGAAATTGTATTTTACTTTTCCATCTGCACTGCCAGCCTGAAGAATATAATTTTCTTCAAAAGGCTAAATATTTAAAATGAGTAGTGGATTCATTAGGGGATATTGAAAATTTAATTGTACGAAAATTGCCTGTTTTGTTTTTTGTTTTTGTTTTTGATTTTTGTTTTTTTCTTTTTGTGATGGAAAATTGCCTGTTTTATTGAAAAGCAGTCACAGGGATTTGGACCCAAATAAATAAATAAATCACTAGCCGTGTAATACTGTTACTATAACTAGAATGTTTAAAATTTATTTTTGTGATATTTAAAATTTTTAGGAAAACAATAAGCTGAATTGATAAACATTGCAGAATGTATGTGTGTTACCTGTCCTTGCCCAATTTTCCTGGCCTGTGTCTAATGTTTTTAACAGACAAATTGCCATACCTAATTAATAGAATTACTAGTCATTTGAGAAATTTAAATATCCACTTTAAATGTATTCTTTTCCTTGAAATTTTTATTCATCAACATATTCTTTTTAAGAATTTGAGGAGCATATTATTTCCTTTCTGCCATCTAATGAAGAAAATTAGCATTCGAATTTAATATTATAAAAAAATGAGTCTTGTTTCATGACATAATACAAGGTAAAGATTTCACAAGATATCAACTTCTTACAGATTTGCATGATAATTTGTATCTCATAATAAGTGTGATTTTTGCCTTTAAGTAAAATGCAGATTGTGAAAGATTAAATTTGAATTTAAATGGATGATTAGCTCCTGCTGAAGATAAAATTTAGTGTTGATTTTAAAAATAAGTTTTTTATCCATTTCAGTTTGTTTTTCTGTGATACGATGCTGAGTTTATAAAATAGAAAAGTGATACGTTAGCAAATTTTTAGAATCTTATAAAATCAGAATGCTTGTGATGCAAGATGATTCAATTTTAAGTTCATCCATGTTATATAGTATTGTTGCACACAAAATTATTAAGGGTATTTAATTAATAATTTTAATATTTGCTTAGTGTGATATTCATATTTTTCCTTGTTAAGTTTTACAAGAAGAGATAACTCATGACTATCTTCCATTCAAAAATCACATTTTCCCTCATAGAGTCTTGATCAATAAACATCAAAACAGTATTTCCCAGTGTAGGATCAATAGTCATCTGTTGGCTGGAAGACAATGTGGAGCAGGAAAAAACACAACCAGCTTAGAGTTGGCTGGGCTTTAAAATTAAATCCTCATTATATATTTTTAAGTATGAGAATTAGGATAGATAATTATGTCCCTGGTTCCAGCTACCCATCTCCCCATAAAAGTTCTGTTCTCTTGGCCTGTTCTAAGATTAGGTTATCTGGTCCAGTTTTAAATGCCTTTGACGTAGGAAACTGACTCCTCTTGAGAATTTATATTATTGCTTAATAGATTTCCGAATGGAAAAGAAAAACTTTCTTAATCTTTGTTCTGCATTTTTTCTTAATTTTCTTTTTTTATTGTTTCCGATTAGTGGTCAGAATGCTAAATAAGGCCGGCTTTTATAAAAAAACTTTTGGAGGTTTACCTTGTTAGCTTAACATGTGTCGTTCTTGCAAATCGAATGAATTAAGAAATGTTAATTATTATAATACATTGCCTACCTTTTATCTATTAAAGAGCTAATCAATACATCTTGAATGATTTAGTCATTTAGTGGTAGCAATCAATCATGATTATAAATGTGTCACAGATTTGTGATTTTGTAAAAGCTCTAGGACTGTCTCTTACTGTTTACATATTCTGCAGACTCCTTTACACGAAGCTTTGCTGGGTAGGATTTGAAAAAAGAATTATAACCACACACTCAAGTGCCTATAGTTAAGGCTGTGTCAGCGTTTCTGTAAAGAATCTCATTTCTGTCTTAGCCATAGCACTATTGCTGGTTAGAAGCTGGCATTTAATATCTTGATTTGGAAGTCAGTTATTTTAAAGCCGCTTTAAAAAATTGGCCCAAATGATTTCAAGCACTCACCCATGTGAGGTTACTCTCTAGGTATCCTTAAAGTATGCAGGATGGTGATTTAACAAACTAATTTCTATATTGTTGACTTGATGACTAAATTAACAGGCAAAATCCTGTAGTTTTGATTTGCACAATGGTTATAATTTAAGTGGTAATATGTTTGAATTACTTAAATAATCTTTTCTCGATTAACCTATTTATTGTACTTTCCTAAGATTTTGTAACACTGTTTCATCGTATTTTTAATTGTGCCAAATTCAGGTGCCCTGGTCAGTGTTTTAATGAACCTCTGTTTACTAACAATCTATTGAAATTTGTATAACTTGTGATATGACCAATGCTGTAAATGACAACTCCATTCTTTATTTCAAAATCCTGCTAAATAAAAAAGATATCTAAAGCAATTTACAGTATAAATTTCCATATTGTAGAGAAAATTCTAAGATATAATTGG